AAAAAAAAGGGTGCGCGGGACGCGGAAAGTGGGGGGGTGAAAAAGCAACACAAAGAGCCAGGTGGTCAGTACACGCGGGAAAGGGGGAGAAAGAAAAAGAAAAGATCAAAAAGATAAGAAACAAGAGGTTTCCAGGGGACTCGCGCGCGCCCAACTGACCCATTGCCTAAACGAATGGATCATCCCACCTCGCCCAGGGGCTGATCATTCACACACGGCGGGCCACACGTGAAAATCAATTGGCTCATCCATAGCCCATTGACATCATCGATTTGTGTGACCAAAAGACGCCTGATGGCGGTCGTGATGAGGGCCGCTCCTTTTTCTCTTTTTTTTTTTTTCCAAGGATGAAATCGAGACTCGTTCCTTTTTTTTTTTTTATTCATTTGACCGCGAGAGGATGATTGAAAATGGTCAACTTTGGGCATGTGTCAAGTAAAATCGAGCGGCATTCGGGCCGGAGATCCAGGCGATCGTCTTGATCGCTCCAATAGAATCTGCGCAAAGGGTGTTCTGTGATCTGCGGGATGCTGTAGCCCAGTGTTGTCTGGCCAGGCTTGGTGTGTGGTCGGTCAATGTAGAATTGGCCGTCACCGAGGCACAACGTGTCCAAATCCTTGGCCAATGCCAGGGTGCGCATGACCTCAAACGACGTGCGCGTCCATCCACGGCCGCTCGTGATGTACAGGGTCTTGTACGAGGGCAGCTTGTTGATGCGATTGCGCTTTGTGTAAAAATAGATACAATCAAGGGCAATGGCGCTGAATGCGCGCGACAGCGACAGCGATTCGAGGTGTGTCAGGTACGGCTGGTGTAAGTCGAGTGTTTTCATCCAAGCATGATCCGGTAAAAACAAATCGCCGCGGTCGTGGATGATGTTGTTGGACGTGGACAGCTTCAGGTGCCTGAGCTGCGGGAATTTCACACAAATGAGCGCGATCAGCGCAGGCACGTTGCTCAGGTCTTGCGGATCAAAGTCGATGTCGATCGACAGCGATGTGATGGAGGGCCACGGATTCGAGCATGGGTCGCATCCATGGTGTGCACCGGGCGCGTGGCGATGGTCCATGGAAGCGCTTTGCAGCGTAAATGCCGTGAGAAATGACGATGACAAGCCGACGGTGGTCTTGTTGCGCGGCGATGGCAGCGCAAGTGTCGACGAAAAGGCGAGAGAGGTCATTTCAGGGCATCTTGTCACAAGGATTCTCAATTTTTCAAGTGGCGGCATGACTCGCCACACGGGTTGTGGCCACACGGACAAGCCATTAGTATTGCTGGTGCTGGCCATGTTGCTAAGAGTGAGATTTTGCACGAGTTTGAGCAATGTCAAGAGTGGCTGCTTGAACAATTCCAAAGGAAGCGCACCACACAGCTCCACGTCCGGTCGGCCACGTAAAATGGGTCTGAGCGCGTTCGACAGCTTCTTGCTGACAATCAAGGGGCTGCCGGGTATCGACGGTGCATCATCCATGGCGTCGTCGTGGTCGTTCTCCAAACCGTACAAAGGGTCCATTTGCACAAGTCGCTGGAGGACGCTAGGCCCTGTGGGGTCTTCGCCCACGCTCATGTTCGCAACGGCGGCGGCGACACGCGCCTCGTTGCGCAACAGCTGCACGTTCACCATGTGAATAAAGTCGGTGTGTATCGAGATGCTCGTCACGTTTTTGCACCGCTTGATGAGCATCATCACATAACGTAGACTGTATGACGTTGTGGGAATCGCTACGTGCCGCACCAGCGGGCCAAGCGTGCGCAGCGAGTGCGCCACAAATCGCTCGCTGGGATCCGCCCACATGTGTCGAAACATGCATCGGTCACGCTCCTTGGGCGTATCGCACCGCCGACAAACACACGCCTTGCCACCAAACGATTTCAGCCGAATCCGGTCAAAAACAAACGGATTCAACAAATTGCGCCACGCACGTGAGCACAACCGCAGAGTCTTGCGATCGTGTCGATCCACATTCAAAAATATCCTAATCAGCGTCTCGTTCGATAGGCTGCGCTGTTCGCCATACATTTTGTCGTGGAAAAAAAAAGGGGAACGAGAGAGAAAAAGAAAAAAAAAACACAAATCGCGCCCAGAAAAAAAAAAAAAGGGTTTGATGTGCCGACGCAACGCCATCGGAGTTACCGCTTTTGTCATCTTCCCCCCTTCCCCCCCCTTTTTTTTTTTGACTTGTTGCCACCGTGCGAGCTCTGTTCCCCTTTGCACGCCACGCTTGATTTTAATGCTTGGATTTTATAACAAGATCAGGGCACAATTGGCATAAAAAAGCACGGTCATGGTCTGACACTGGCTGATTTGTAACGATTTTGCGCAATGGATGCTGTTCAGGCACAGGGAGCGCGTGGCCAAGGGTCGAATGCTCCGGTCGCGTAGGCGGCTCTTGTTGGATGACCCAATGGACATCCATGCACAGATCGTGCAAGCGAGGAAATAAGCAAAGCGCGCGGATCACGTCAAAAGGAGCGGAATCGGGCGTGTCGTTGTCCATGGTCAACATTTCAATGGGCGCGTGCCATTGTCCGGCGGCGGTCGTGTAAAAATAAAGCACGTCAGGCACAATGCGGCTCAGGATCTTGGGGATCGTCAAGCTGATCAACGACGGCAGGTATTGAACGCGTTGCAAATTAAGAAGATGCTTCCACGACGGGTTTGACAGCCATCGTGCCTCGGTGCCCGCAGCATTGATTGGCGGCTTGAGCGTCAGCATCTTGATGTTTGGGAACTTTAGACAGATGAACGCGAGCAAGGACGGTAAGTTGTTGAGACTGTTGGCATTGTAGTTGGTGATCAGATGCAGTGTATCCACCGACGGCCACGGATTCATGCACGCGTCACAGCCAACATGGTTGCCAGGCTCATGCCGCCCTTTTAAAAAGGCATGATCAAAAGGCGTCCCAAGATTCATGCCAAAACTGAGAAATGTCAAATTTGGGCAACTTGTGCCTGGTGCGGCCAAGCCTTGTGGTCCCGGCCAAAACGCCGCGGGGATCCCTGGCCAATGCCATCCCCACGTCTCACGCTCCAGTGTCAGCCGCTGCAGCGCACAAAGATTGGGCACGAGCGCGTCGCAAAAGACGCGTGCCGGTAAATCGCCATAAATCGTCATTTCTTCCATGTGCACTAGAATTGGCCGCAATTTCGCCGGCAAGTCGTCGCTCATCTGCGGCCAATTCCTGCCAAGGCCCGTGTAGCTGGAGACGGCAAAGTCGGCGCCGTCGTCATCTAGGTCATTTGTCGTCAGACAGTCGTCCACACCATACCCTTGCAAGAGCCGCCGGTTCTCGACCTTTAAGAACCCGGCATCCACATCCAGCCTCTTGACGTTGGGGCAATGCGCCAGCAGCGCCGTAATGTCGTCCACATGCAGGTATTTCGTGCGAATTTCAATGTGCCGCACGTGCACGCCAAGGCGCCGCAGACTCGGCAGTGCAATCCCCGTGCGAGGATCGATCCACGTCGAGCGGAAACTCGTCACCAGCTGCGCCTGTGTCTCGAGGCAGTCGTGCCGCCGTCGCAGCCCGTTGTGGTCCTGGATCCGCGTGTCAAAGCTCAGCGCCGCAAACACCTTGGGGTCCACGAGATCCCGCCACGCGCGGTCGCATTGCCGCAACGCCAAAAGATCCGCGCCATCCAAGCCATCAAAAATACACTCGAGCAGCTCATTGGGCAAACTGGTCCAGCCCATGATTTTGAAAAAAAAGGGGGAGCGGGGGGAAAAAGAGAGTTAAAACAAGACGCCTGCTACCTCGGCGTGGGACAAAAATCATGGGCTTGCGTCACACATGACCCGAGCCCAACTGCGACTGACACGCAAAAAGCCGCCAAAGGGGGAACATGTTTCATGCAAAGCACTTGCCAAAATGGTCAATTTGAGCCCACGATGACCTTTTTACAAATATCTGACTGCGCCAAAATTTTGCAACGTGGACAAAATGCCTCTAAAAAGCAACGGTGGCTAGTGGGTTGAGTTGTCTGACTGGTTGAAACCGTCGAAAAGGCACAAAATAGACAAAAACGTTCCATGATTCATCTGGGTGACGCAATAGGCAGCTTTGGAATGCGCCTTCAATCGCGGATACTTTGTTTCTGAATGCATGCATGCCATTGTTCAGTTTGAGATGCCATCAGGGCAAAAAATTTGTCAATTCTGCCAAAATAAGCATTTTCCAGAGGTGTCCATTGAACCTCGCCGGGCAAGCAACTTTTATTGCCTCGAAACGCGTCTCAACGCGTTCTCAGAGGCTCAAAACACCAAGTGGGTCGCAATCTGGTAGACGTCAAAGCAAGTAAAAGCGAGGCAACTGCAGAGGTTCTCAGAATGACGCCAAACTTTCATCATGAATGACTTTTTTTTTTCTTTTTACAAAGCGTGACCTTGATGGCATTGTGCAATGCAACGTGGCCAGATATGCACCCACAATTCGGTCCAATCCTTACGCACAAACACAGCTCTCAAGCTTCTCTGTACAAGAGGAACATGACGACACTAAATGTGGAAAATCGCGTCATTTGTGGTATTTTGATTGTTTGTCAATGGCTACCTTGTTGACAATGCCATTTGCTCGTCCATCCGGAAAGTACAAAGTTTCTCGTTCAAGTGAGCCTCTCGCTGGAGTTCGATGGTCACTGGATGGCACGCAATACTATTTTGCCTCATTTGTTTTTATGGATTTTGTGCAATCGAGGTGGATGAGCCAATTCTGACGCGATTTCTCTCATATTGGGGCAAGAAGCGCGCTATTGAGCTTCGCGAACAAAAAAAAAAGGCGTGTGTAGCAAGTGAAAAAGAAGCCATTTAATTGAAAAAAAAAATATCGGCGGATACATATCTGCCATACCATTTGAGTGCCAATATCCAGATGCTGCTGCTACATGGCACTTTCGCAGCCGAAGCTCCTTCCACTCTGTCACTTTGCTTCCGACAATCGGAGAAAAAAATTGTCAAAGAGCGCCATTTTTTTAAAAAAAACAAAAAAAATGCAAAAAATGGTGAAGAGAGTGGGATTTGAACCCACGCCTCCGAAGAGACCAGGGCCTTAACCTGGCGCCTTAGACCAACTCGGCCATCTCTCCACTTGATGAAAGTATAACTGAGTTTTCTTTCTTAACCTAATTTTTTCGATTTTTTTACACCGGAGTTAAAGCTCGATGACGGCGCGATTTGGGAAAGCCGAGAACAAAAGTTCCGGCGCGATTTCGGATACGTTCTGGCCATTTTCGGAGTTAAAGTCATTTCGTCGTGATTTTGGCGCGCCGGATTAAGTTGCCGGCACTTTTTTGGCTTCGAATCGGTTTCTCTGCCATTTCCCTTCATATTTCAGGGCCCGTGCCACATGACAATCTTTTCTTTCTTTTTTTTTTTTTTTTTTTTTTTTTTTTTTTTTTTTTTTTTTTTTTACTTTACTTAGTGTTAGATGGGCAACAACAGTGTCTCATAATAGAAGAGATTGCACAAGGTGTGGTTGAAGTTCACATGCCCGGCTCCGTTTTTATTATTTTGTTTAATGAATCTTGCACTCGTGTTTGTTCCTACATCACTGACGTTTTCGGCCCGTTTTTTTGTTATTATTCGTCTTTTAACAACTGTGGCGTCTTTTGACACGCTGTTTTGTATCAGTGTGCGAGTTTTTACTCGTAGTCACAACTCAAAGAAGCTCATGAACATGCATGTTTGTACAAAAAAAAAAGAAAAGTCGCCACAACGAGTGAAAACACGCACACTGATACAAAACAGCGTGTCAAAAGACGCCACAGTTGTTAAAAGACGAATAATAACAAAAAAACGGGTCAAAGGCGCCACCGATTAGCATAATCTGGTGCTCTTGTCCGTGTTTTGAACTTAAGCCGACAAAAAAAAGTGAAAGAGAAAAAACAGCACTTTTTTTTTTTTTGGAATAACAACTTTCTTTTGCTTGCCTTGTGATTATGATGCGCTCCGAGAGCCATGACAAGAATGCCCAAAGCATGCCATAATCATTCCACTAGCTCTTGTCGTGTGATTCTAATGCGCTCCAAGAACCATTATGACAAGAATGCCCAAAGCCAGCCATGTTCATTTCACTAGCTCTTGTCGTGTGATTTTAATGCGCTCCAATAGCCATGATGACAAGAATGCCCAAAGCCAGTCATGTTCATTCCTCTAGCTCTTGTCGCGTGATTTTAATGCGCTCCAAAAGCCATGATGACAAGAATGCCCAAAGCGAAGCATGTTCATTCCACTTTGATCTTATTAGGTCTTGTGTTATATAGTAGATCTTCGTTATATCATAGCTGCATT